TTTTTTTCGACCATATACTTCCATGCTGTGATAAAACTGTGGCACTTCTACAGTTCATACATCTGCTTTTATAAATTTTAACTTCTTTCAAATTTATCGCTAATGTTGGTGAGTTTATCGGTTTTATAATTCTAGCTTTCTCTTGTTGTAGTGATACTTTGATCTGAAATTGTGTGCGTATTATATACAGGCGCATCTTTTCTGCCTTAAAATAAAACAAATTTTAAGTTCTTCAGTAATAGAAACATTAAATTTTTGTAATTCAGTTAAATACGTCCGAATATCACTAAGGTATTTATAGGTAATACATAAAATACAACGAATAACAATAGTTAAAACCTCTTACCTGCTTTATCAAAGAAGAAATGTTTGAATTACATAAAATAAAACTTTTAAACATGTGACTAACACTTAATAATAAATTATTTTATTTAGATATATATAGAAAAGCAGGGCCATTTTCCTTTTACGTAAATGTCATCTACAATTGCCACTAGGAAAGTTATTACTGATAAGAGAAACTTAAAATTAATAAATTTAAATTATTAATTGCTGTAAGTGACGCAAAATGATTTAATTTCTAACAGAAGAAAAGTAACACGAAATATATTTAGATTGCGTATTACTCCAAAAATATTCAAAAATAAAAAAAAATTCACATAAAATGTGACTTCAAAAGTTTATTCTGACATCGTCACAATACCGGGCTGCAGTTTTTAATCATATTTTTAACATATTTAATGTAAAATATATGCTTTTCACCTCAAATTAGTAGTTTCTTACTCCTGTACATTACATTCCCTCTTTAGCAACAGAGTCATGCCAGTCATCTATCTAACTCCTTTAAGAGAAAAGTTTTTGATTTCAAGTCACGTAACTGATGGTGCAAACATCAGAAATTCCCAAACATTTTTGAGTGCTGACCTCTTCAAGATTTTTCGACTTATTTTAACCCCTGTTCTTTCTTTGTAGTAAAATTATAATTAAATAAAAAATTAGCTCAGAAAATATTAACACGCACCGTTTTTATAAGCAAAATCAGTTTTCAAATTTGCAACATCTATATATATATAAAAATGAATGTATGTGTGTGTGTGTGTGTGTGTGTCCTTCATGCATTACCACACCGTTTATCCGATTGCCGTGAAACTTTGGGAAGTTGTTTCATATACTCCAGCGAAGGTTTGTGGCATAGTACGATTGCCATAAAACTTCGGAAAGTTTTTAAATACACTCCCGCGACGTACATTTATCCTACGATAGATGGCGCGCGTTTACACGAGCATTCGAGCACAGCGTGTTCGATCTATTTTAAATTGTGAAGACCATTTCCCCCTTNGATAATACTATATAAAATTTGAATCATTATATCAGTCAGTAAGGGTGAAATTTAGATATTTTCAAGAAATTTGTATTGATAATTCAAACAATAACGATTACAGTAGCTGAGTGTTTTCAATACCGATTTTATTTCTTCTATTTTTCTTTCAAACTCAATTCCATTAACATAAGTTAGAATGATTAAAGTTTTCATTGGCATTGTAATAATTTATATTGCTTAATCTGTTTGAAATATTAGTTTTTTATTTTGATTTAAAACGAAATAAATAAAACACTAATTAAATAATTTATTACTTACGATTATCAAAGCAATTAAACTGCTGATCAATCTTGGTGTATATTGCAACAAATATCGAATATTTATTCCTTGAGTATTTATTATTATAACTATTCCATTCGCTTGCATTCGATGTAAATTTAACATGAAATCTGATAAAAGGAATGAAAGACGGTACACATCTAACACGTTCATTTTCGAAAAATCACACCGCTCTGTAATTAAAAGATGTATACAAGAATATAAGGTACAGTAACATATTGATATATCAAACTCTAACTTAACGGAGAAAAATATTTGTGCTAAAGAAACAATTTAAAATCATTTTTTTTCAACTTTTTTCTATAGCGGCACGTCTCAAATTGATCGTTAAATCAATAATACATTATAACATATTTCTTTTATAATAAAAGAAATAACTCTTGAACCTTTCTATCAGAATAAAACATAAAATGTTGATGATATGTTATATTATTTTTGTATTATATTACATATATAATGTTTCAATTGTAGTTTTATTAATTAAGCAATCTAATTGACCTTAACTTGAACGTTTCCCATCAAACAAGCTAAGATAATATTTCAAGAAAAATTAAAAATTCGAAAAAACGTCATAGAATAATAAATGTATAAATAAATTTTCTTTCCTTATAAGTTATATATCAATATAAAATAATTATGAATCTTACCGTTTTCTATTATACTAACAATTCTCCCGTGTTGATCAGGCTTCGGCAATATTCTTATTATATTTAAAGGTAAAATATTTTCCAAGTTCGATGGGAAAAGATTTTTAAAAAAGGATGGATATTTTATTCTTGTAGAATAATAATTCTTCAGAAGTCGAAGCGATCTTTCTAAGTTAAACTTTCTAGCACGAAGAAATCCAAGAAGAAATATGTCGTCCATTCTACATTTTAATTTATTTTCATCTGAAATAATTATTATAAAAATATTAAAATTTTATATATTTAACTGTTACATAGTTTTCATTATAATCATTTATACATTTTATAAATGATAAAAGTATTACTTCAGATTGTTGTGAGTTAATAATGCTGAAAACGTATTAAGATATTTCATATAAAGACCACGTCATTGTAATAAATCAAATGACACTTTTATGCAAATCTACCATATAACAAATTTAATTTATCATGTAGTTTATTACAATACTTACTGATAAGTTTCTTAAAGTGTTCAAGTGCTTTTTCATCCCATGGAAATTCTTCTCTCTGCTCAGGAAACATTTTGTATAAAGAATCCATATTCTATATCCAAAAAAGTATAGTTTTTGTGTCTGAAATAGAAAATAATAACGAAATAATTTGAAATGTCTTATTAATAATTTAATAGTAATATAATAATTTATGGACATGTCTTTTAAAGATTAGAATCCTAAACTAATTGTAGTAAGTGGAAGAAACTTGCGAAAAAAAGCAAATAAGTTATAAGGAAATGTACTATTATAATGCACAGGATATCTATGAATAGTATATAATCTTAAAATATCTACTACACTAGAATTTAGATTTTTCCAATCAACTTTAAACTTTAGCAAGGAGTTGCTGCTCTTGTCAATGTGCTGTGAGGCGAAGTGCTATATACAATACTTGATACAGAAGACCGCCGGAAGGCTGTAATAATTTCTTTTCGACCATATACTTCCATGCTGTGATAAAACTGTAGCTGTTTTATAGTTAATACATCTGCTTTTATAAATTTTAACTTCTTTCAAATTCATCGCTAATGTTGGTGAGTTTACCGGTTTTATAATTCTAGCTTTCTCCTAATGTACTGATACTTTGATCTGAAATTGTGTGCGTATTATATACAGGCGCGTCTTTTCTGCCTTAAATTAAAGTACATAAAATTTTTGTAATTCAGTTAAATACTTCCGAATATCATTAAGGTATTTATAGGTAATACATAAAACTCAACGAATAACAATAGATAAAACCTCTTACCTGCTTTATCAAATAAGAAATGTCCAAATAACATAAAATAAAACTTTTAAACATGTGACTAACTTTAATTAAATAATAATTTATTTTATTCAAATATATGAGAAAAAAACAGGAGCATTTTTCCTTTTACGTAAATGTTATCTACAACTGCTACGAGGAAAGTTATTAGTGATAAGAGAAACGTGAAATTAATAAATTTAAATTATTCATTGTTGTATGTCATGCAAAATGAATTTAATTCTTACGAAAATCTAGCAAATTTCGCAATATATATAGCTTTGGTTGGGTAAGAATCAATATATTTTAATTGCGTATTACTCGAAAAATATTTAATAATACACTAATTTATATTAAATATGATATAAACAAAAAATTCAAGAACGATTTGTATAACTTTTCCGGAAATATATTTAAGAAACACACGAAAAGTTTAAATTTGCGTGTGGCTTCATCTGTTATAAGATATTATAAAAAGTTATTTTAATATTAATTATAATACGAGGAAAAAGCTTACTATCTGAAGGTAGAGAGAGTTTTTCCAAACCGTGCCTGTACGCCCATGCCTAAGAATCTAGATTTCGGAGCCTCCAAAACTTGAAAAAAATTAAAGTATTTTACCATTGTAATCTATATCAATCAATCTATATATATATATATATATTATAAAGGTAAGTGCCACTAAAACTCAGAACCGAGTGTTGGTACGATCAAGGGAGTTATATGGTGTGGTATCCCTCTATCTCCCATCCATGAAGGTTTACGTTTTTACCCGAAGGGCGTGCTGTTGAAGATATAAGGGCTGGAAGTTTCGCCCTCTGGAAATTTCTAGAACAGTCCAGAACATTCGAGAATATTCCACAACATTCCAGAATGTTCCGGGATGTTCTGGAACGTTCGGAAACATCCCGCATCATTGTGGAACATTCCAGAACACACTCGAATATTATGGAATGTTCTGAAACATTGTGGATCATTCGAAGCCTATTTTGGTATAGGTGGGACTACCCATTGGTGGGAGTGTATAAAGCAAGATCCGTCGTGGGTTCAAACGTCGGTTTCTTATCAGTGATAAAGGGAGGAACCGAAAAAGAAGTGAAAATGCTAAAGTAGTGAATGAGTGAATAAAAACAAGCAGTCAAGTGTTAGTAGTCAAAGTGATACAGAGACTGAATATAAATCGAAAATAAAGTGTGAAAACTGTGTAAAGTGTACTTAGTGTATTTGTTAATAAAAAGTTGATTTCATTTATATTTTATACAATGACCAAACTTAAAAGAGGATAACCTCTTGCCAGTTCTGAATTTTCTTTTGAATATTAAAGTTGATATTGTGGACAATATTGTTTTTAGTTGCCAAAATTGCCCTTTCAAATAGCCACTTCGAATAATAAGAAGCGCAGAGCCCAAAGAGTTAGGAGTTGAAGGTTGAAATTTGGTACACAGTTAGGGTGCGTCATGAGAACGTACACTAAGAAAAGATTTTTAGAATTTCCCTTGCGGGGGAATTCTAAAAATCCCTTTAGTTTTAGTCTTATCGCAGTTTCATGTTCTTTTATACGTAATTCTAATGTCCTTCCTTGTCATGTTCTTTTATACGTAATTCTAATGTTTCCTATGTATTTTTTTGGATTCTGACAGTTACAGCTTATCTTATAAACTGTACCAGTTTTTTTCAATTTATCCGTTTTGGTTTTTTGTTTTCCTATTTTATGAATAGTATGTGAAATTTTATTAGTCAAAGATGGGGCCAAAAACACATTATCTTCGCTTAANGAAAAAAAGCAAATAAGTTATAAGGAAATGTACTATTATAATGCACAGGATATCTATGAATAGTATATAATCTTAAAATATCTACTACACTAGAATTTAGATTTTTCCAATCAACTTTAAACTTTAGCAAGAAGTTGCTGCTCTTGTCAATGTGCTGTGAGGCGAAGTGCTATATACAATACTTGATACAGAAGACCGCCGGAAGGCTGTAATAATTTCTTTTCGACCATATACTTCCATGCTGTGATAAAACTGTAGCTGTTTTATAGTTAATACATCTGCTTTTATAAATTTTAACTTCTTTCAAATTCATCGCTAATGTTGGTGAGTTTACCGGTTTTATAATTCTAGCTTTCTCCTAATGTACTGATACTTTGATCTGAAATTGTGTGCGTATTATATACAGGCGCGTCTTTTCTGCCTTAAATTAAAGTACATAAAATTTTTGTAATTCAGTTAAATACTTCCGAATATCATTAAGGTATTTATAGGTAATACATAAAACTCAACGAATAACAATAGATAAAACCTCTTACCTGCTTTATCAAATAAGAAATGTCCAAATAACATAAAATAAAACTTTTAAACATGTGACTAACTTTAATTAAATAATAATTTATTTTATTCAAATATATGAGAAAAAAACAGGAGCATTTTTCCTTTTACGTAAATGTTATCTACAACTGCTACGAGGAAAGTTATTAGTGATAAGAGAAACGTGAAATTAATAAATTTAAATTATTCATTGTTGTATGTCATGCAAAATGAATTTAATTCTTACGAAAATCTAGCAAATTTCGCAATATATATAGCTTTGGTTGGGTAAGAATCAATATATTTTAATTGCGTATTACTCGAAAAATATTTAATAATACACTAATTTATATTAAATATGATATAAACAAAAAATTCAAGAACGATTTGTATAACTTTTCCGGAAATATATTTAAGAAACACACGAAAAGTTTAAATTTGCGTGTGGCTTCATCTGTTATAAGATATTATAAAAAGTTATTTTAATATTAATTATAATACGAGGAAAAAGCTTACTATCTGAAGGTAGAGAGAGTTTTTCCAAACCGTGCCTGTACGCCCATGCCTAAGAATCTAGATTTCGGAGCCTCCAAAACTTGAAAAAAATTAAAGTATTTTACCATTGTAATCTATATCAATCAATCTATATATATATATATATATTATAAAGGTAAGTGCCACTAAAACTCAGAACCGAGTGTTGGTACGATCAAGGGAGTTATATGGTGTGGTATCCCTCTATCTCCCATCCATGAAGGTTTACGTTTTTACCCGAAGGGCGTGCTGTTGAAGATATAAGGGCTGGAAGTTTCGCCCTCTGGAAATTTCTAGAACAGTCCAGAACATTCGAGAATATTCCACAACATTCCAGAATGTTCCGGGATGTTCTGGAACGTTCGGAAACATCCCGCATCATTGTGGAACATTCCAGAACACACTCGAATATTATGGAATGTTCTGAAACATTGTGGATCATTCGAAGCCTATTTTGGTATAGGTGGGACTACCCATTGGTGGGAGTGTATAAAGCAAGATCCGTCGTGGGTTCAAACGTCGGTTTCTTATCAGTGATAAAGGGAGGAACCGAAAAAGAAGTGAAAATGCTAAAGTAGTGAATGAGTGAATAAAAACAAGCAGTCAAGTGTTAGTAGTCAAAGTGATACAGAGACTGAATATAAATCGAAAATAAAGTGTGAAAACTGTGTAAAGTGTACTTAGTGTATTTGTTAATAAAAAGTTGATTTCATTTATATTTTATACAATGACCAAACTTAAAAGAGGATAACCTCTTGCCAGTTCTGAATTTTCTTTTGAATATTAAAGTTGATATTGTGGACAATATTGTTTTTAGTTGCCAAAATTGCCCTTTCAAATAGCCACTTCGAATAATAAGAAGCGCAGAGCCCAAAGAGTTAGGAGTTGAAGGTTGAAATTTGGTACACAGTTAGGGTGCGTCATGAGAACGTACACTAAGAAAAGATTTTTAGAATTTCCCTTGCGGGGGAATTCTAAAAATCCCTTTAGTTTTAGTCTTATCGCAGTTTCATGTTCTTTTATACGTAATTCTAATGTCCTTCCTTGTCATGTTCTTTTATACGTAATTCTAATGTTTCCTATGTATTTTTTTGGATTCTGACAGTTACAGCTTATCTTATAAACTGTACCAGTTTTTTTCAATTTATCCGTTTTGGTTTTTTGTTTTCCTATTTTATGAATAGTATGTGAAATTTTATTAGTCAAAGATGGGGCCAAAAACACATTATCTTCGCTTAATAGTTTTGAACAGTTATCGTAAATACTAGTTATGTAAGGGAAGGCTTTGTAATTTTTCCCCCCTTTTTTATTTTTTATATTAAATCTGTTTTTGTAATATTGTTTTTTATATTAAATCTGTTTTTGTAATATTGTGTGTGCCAAATTTTTAATATTTTTTTCGGATAACCATTGAGGATGAATTTATGATCTAACTCGTTTAATTCTATTTCACGTTCATTTTTGTTGGTTGTTCTTGTGTACATCTTTTTTAGTTCCA